TCAGTTGTGGACTCTTCTTTTGAAAGTGCTTTTACACATACAAGTTGGCTTCTTCAAATTCCGTTTACAAGCAAGCTTAGAATCCTGTTTATTGCTATGAAGATTAGTTAAAAAACTAGATTCTGTTCATTATCCTTTATGATCTTAATTATACAAACACTAGGTACTGCAAAAAAAATGCTATTACACTAAGACAATGCTCTTACTGTGAGAACCTATTTGTAACTGGTTTCTAGCTATATTTAAAGAAAATATGTTGCTAATACTTATGATATATAGTGTTAAAAATAGTGATCTGATTGTCATTAACTGTGTTTCTTTCCAGCATTCTGCTAGTAAAAAAACCTATGACATACTATAAGAAAAGGTAAAGCTACATCAGTTCATTGAGAAACAAAATGCTGTGCCTCACCTCACACCTTTCCTCCTATCTGTAATTACCATTTGATTCCTTACACAACTGCTTTTTCTCCTTTTAGAGCTGAAAGGGATCCCTGTTTATTTTTATATGGAAGAGCATGTAGCTCTTGGAACAATCTTGCATAAGTTTAACTGTGAGCTAAGGCATAATAGAAATATCAGGAGTCAAACTTTTTGCAGTAGTCTTCATTCCTCAAAGGGAAAGAGGAAAATAGCTACACATCCGTGGGAAAAAAAAAAAAAAAAAAAAAAAACAGTAAGAAAAAAAAAAGGTGCATAGAGAAACCATCTCTTGGACCTAAAATCACATCATGTCCAAGCTGCCTTTCTAAGTGCTGCTATAGAATTAGAGTGTATGAGAAAGTGTGGCTTGAAAATCTCCATATAACTGATAGAGTTATATGGAGATTATATCATAAAGCAAGACTAGGCACTTACGATCTTTTCAAGCAGAAGTTCATTTAGGAAATTCTCATTTGTCAAGATTTGACTTCCTCCAGTTTCTGAGATTGAGCCGTACATTTTAATCAAGAGGTGATTAACATTCTTTTTTCCACCTCTTTCAATACAAGCTCAATAATAGGTTCTGCCCAATGACTCCATACTCTATTGTTTCTAACAGAGACAAATGAAGTTATATTCTCTTCGGACAGTCTGATTTCCCAAGAACACATGAGTTGATGACCTGCTACACTGTCTTATAGTAGGCATGTTTCTTTATTACTTATAAGGTATTATTTAGCTTATCTGAAATATTATGATTAAAGCCTGACGTAATCAGATTGCTTAATATGCCAACTGACCTGGTATTCCTCCAGCGAGAGTGATTTCCCACTGGTTTAACAGAACATTGAAGGGAAATGGTTGAATAGTAGATGCAGAGCAGTAAGAAGCAAAATGTATGAGAATGAAACCGATATGATAATCAATAAAGCACAGTCCTCTGTGTGCTCAATGTCTACAACGGGCTAAGCTCCCCATTATTGCTTTTAAAATAACCTGTGCTCACAGATTCTTAGAAGAGCTAACTGCTACTGAGGAGAGGCCTAAATCTAGTGTGGTTACCCAGCCGTAATAAGCATATGGTCAACACTAAGTTAGAAGGTTTCTCTTCTAGACAACCTTAAAATCTTGAAAAATATTATTGTAAAATCAACCCAGTTTGGGATGCTGCAGTCCAACCCCATGCAGGTATCTGAAAGTTGTTAACTCTGAAAATGAGAGAGATTGTTCCATACTGAAAAATGAGAGTTGTTATTTACATATTGTAAATATGTAAACCTGTCACTTACAAAGGTAAGGTGTTCACTTGCCAAAACAAGTAACTATAAATTGCTCAGAAGTAAAGTGGTACCAGTCAATATCTTCATTTTCTACAGACACCTCTGAAACATGTCAAGTAGCATGTGCTTGCATAGATGACTAAATTCTTTATACTGCTGTTAGATGGTGAAAGTCATATTAGAATCTGAAAGCTTCACAAAGATTCTCACATGTTCAGCTACCACTTTCTTTGAAGAAAACTGAACATTTATATTATATTTGCATTAATTTTATGAATAAATGAAATACTAAACGTCACTTATTTGTTTCAACTCATCACCCCCGATTTTCTAAAAGTACTAAATATGGGTCCTAAATTACAGAGTTCTAGTGAAGGGTTCAAAAGCACCTTAAATCGTGTGCCTGAATTTAGAACTTGGTCTGTTCTGCAAAGACAAGGGATAAGAATGATAGTATTCAGATCAAAATTTTAAAGCTAATGTTAAAATAAAACTGATGGATAGCTTGCAATAATTTGCATCCTTTTTAAAGTCAGTTTCAGCTGGAGTTAAATGGCTGAGGCTGCTTTATGAAGAATAATCTTAAAGGCTGCTCTGGTTATTGTAAAGAAATGCTGAAGGTGTCCAAAAATTATTAAAAATACACTAAAAATGTTATATTATTTCACCTCACAACCTCAGGATACTTGGAAAGTAATAAAAAAAATCACATGTAGAGTGGAAGTAACAGTGAATTTGTGTGAGTAGAGACAAGCTATTTAGTAGCATAGATCTATTTCTTCAATTAACATGTAAAACGTGTGCACAGTTTACAGTGTTGACTCAGTATTGGTATATGTCCATTGATCCGTTAAAACATCCTCTGACTCCCCTCAAATAAATGTCAACACCTACGTATATGTAAATGTATATACAGATACTGAAATGTAAGTGCTACAAATATTCATTGCAGTAATGGTTAACAGACAAGGATGATAATCAATTTACTTTTAATATTGATGCCAAAAGAAACCAGAATTTGAAGAGGAAACAAGATTGCAGGCTATGACCACTAGATGACAGCATATACTTAACACTGAATTGCTTCCAGCCTTCAATCTATCACTTAATTGTTCTATTTATTAATCTGTATGAACTCATTAGATACATCTGAGAGCAAAACAAAGATTGTAGAATATTTTTGCTGTTTATAAATAATGCCAGTATACTAACACCATTAAAAAGAATGGTCCTAACTCTTCAAATTATTTCAGTCAGAAGAAAGTGCGACTTGTGTAGCTGATTTACCACATTATAACTTGCATAGATTAGTGGAGTTTTACCTCTTTAAGCCATAGAAAAATGCATCTGTTTTCTGATCATGAGTCTACAAAGCACCTTGCTTTTATTCTGGTTGGTCTCAAAGTTAGGGGGAAACAGCTTTTTCAAATAAAGTCTTGAAGTCAAATCACTAACAGTTCTTTTGTGCTAAGTCGTTATTTATCCTCACAGGCTTTGAGCCAAAGTGGGTTTGATTTTTAAATTCAGTTTCTGAAAATCTTTCACTGTTTAGTGTGACCTGTCTGGGTGCTACCACTGAAGTACTAGCCCCACTGATTCCTAGTGAAACGATCCATTCCCTACCTACCCCCTCCAAACCATTGGTTTATTTACTTCTGCATCCAAGTCTTTTCACTCTGCTTTGTTATGTCCAATTTAGAGAAAACATTACACTTCCACTTTTTATTAAATGTGCTCAGAGCTCTTTGTATAAAATAAATACTGACTGGTAAAAAAAATGTATATTTTTGATAGGAGAAGGTTTAAAGCCAAGGCACTAATTAGCCAACACAGATGCAGGAAGTTAGATTCTGATGATGTGATCATATGTAAAAGAAGATAATACACAGTCAAAGAGGGGAAAATGATGCATTATACCCTCAAGAAAGGGATTTGATTTCTTTGCCTTTTAAAGTCAAGTGCTGAAGCCGAATGAGCTTATACCCAGTTTTAATGCATGGAGAGGAACATCTGTGATGGGTATGGTCCAGAATACACAACATATGGAATGATCAGACAGAAGCCCATTTCAACTTCAGAGGAAAAATGCAACCCTCCCCTCCAACTAGAGATCCTAGCAAGAATCCCACAGAAAGAGAGGGTCAGTGGTAACTATGAAACACCAACATTTGAGATGTAGCTTTAAGAAATACACCTGTATAACAGCCAGCACCTTGGCCTGTCACTGTGCCAAATTAGCTATTTTTCCTTTTAACAGCAATAGCAGGTTCATTTCCTCTGTGGAGCAGGGAAGAAAGAAAGACATAACTCATATAGAACAGAACCACATAGTACAGTCACTGTTACATCTGCAATTCAGTTCTTTGCTGCATTAGATTTTTTTGCAGGTAATGCTTTGTTCCCCTATGTAGAAAGTTCTTTAAGACATGAACATCAACAATAGCTGTGACTTAAGACAGGATGCCACTATTAGTGTGAAGATTTGCCAGACAACAGCGCTCTGTAAGTCTTGCTTGCCCTTTTTACTTTTATTCCAGCAATTTAAATACTGAACAGTAGCGTGCTACTCAAAGCCCTTCCTTTATAGGCATCTTCTTTAGCACATTTTTGAAACTTCTATTCTTCTACATTCTTTTGGGACTGAGCTGCAGACAGGCAAAACCAAATGTTTATTTCAGAGTCCTGCTTTCTCAGGGGGACACCGTCAAATAAAATGTTTAGGACATAGAGCTTTTTCTCCTTTCCTGATGGATTTTGACACTGCAGACTTGAGTGACAGTGGGCATTTACCAATGATTTTGTGCTGCTAAAGTTTCATTCTATCCAATTTAGAGTGACAAAGGTTGCATACATAGTTCTTTCTTGCTAGCCCAAATGTTCTTCAAGCTTTTACTGTTTACAGAAAAGAAACCAAATCTTTATTAGGAAACTAGAACCTGCAATAGAGAATGAAATTTATTCAGCCACCCATCTGGTTTAGCAGAAAAAGTAAATATTTCTTTGAGATTTCAGTATATTTTTCACTCTTAGAAAAGTATTTCTAAGAACACTCTTATAAGTATTGTTACAGGCAGAAAGTGACAGACAGCATTCTAGATTTTTTACTTTTCTCCTCAAAGTCAGTCTTGGATTGAAAGCTACAAATGCCAGATATTCTACTTTGTTTTTAGGTAGAAAATTGGCACAGATGTTGATGGCTAGCTGAAATTCTGGTTTCTTGCCTGTGGTATTCAGCAGGTGAAAGAGACAGGACCATCTCAAAAAGCCGTTAAATATAAGAAGAGCATTAACTCTTACCTTCCAATAGAAGTTTGAAAACAGTTTTTTGCTTCTCTTGTATTTCTAGGAATGTTCCTGTGAGAGAAAAGAAGTTTAGCATTAATATCCTTGGTGTTTCTAAAGTGATACACATACAAACTTAATCGTCAGATCACAGTAAGTAAATCTCCCATCTTTTTTTTTTTTCTTTCATATTTTGGTTTGAGAAAAGCCAGGGAGTTATTCCAGCTGCCTAACTAACAAAAACCTTTCTCAACCTTCAAAAAAGCTTGTAATGCATAGCATCAATATACCTGTTTTCTAGATGAGGAATAAACCGAGCTTCCTAATTTAATATTATTTTTTTTAAGTGACTGGCACCTGTAATTGTAATAATAATTCAAGTAAATTCATAATTTCTGAACATTGTCCTTGTGTCCCCTTCAAGGCAGCATAATTGGCCAGTATTAGCCACAATGAGGATTCTGGATATTCTGACTCCCAGTTTGTGATCCTTCACTGGATTATGCTTCCCATTCTAATGAATAACAGGACTGCAACATCTACATCTTTTAGTAACTCAGTAGTTTTTATCCATATATAGCATTTTTCCCTTGGGAATAACATACAGATACTGCTGTTTACTCAGTTATGCTTTTGGGATAACCAGATTACAAACATTTTTAGTGAATAGCTACAATATTTATAGTATTCCTTGTAGCACAGTACAAAACACTTTGGATTAAGCAGAGGTATCTTAAACCAGGACAAAAGAACTGACATAAGCTTTCAGGAAGTCTCACTGCCAGTGATATTTATGGCTGTAATTTCCCTCTGTAAATATGGCAATGTGCTCAAAGAAGTATCCCCAACCCAGCTTCCTCTCAGCCTCATTTTAATGCAGCTCTGACTCATGAATATACAACTGTAGATACAGCAAAATATATCTATGCAAGTCACCTGAGACTTTGAGGTGTAAGTAATAATGCATGCAAGTCATTTCCTGCTCAAATGACAAAACAGCACTTAAGGCAGTTCTCACATGAAATCTTTCTTTTGTAAGCTCTGAATATAGAACCAGCCTTTAAATTCACCTAGACAGTGCTGTATTGGCTAGAATGGAAAATCAGATTTGTACATGTCAAACAGAACAACTCCATCAGAAGTAAATGCAGATTCAGAAGGGCTACTAAGGAAAGCAAAGTTCTCTTAATTGCTAAAGTGAGACATCCAAATTAATGCAAGACCACATCTGCGTAATTGAAAACACTACAACATAAAATAACACATTAAAATAAAACGCAATAAAGTATTAAAGTTCTTGTGAAATTTTAATCAGAAAACCCAATACAGGTAGTAACAGACAGAAATGATTTAGGCAATCATTGTAAGGTTTTAGAATGAACTATTTTAGAATTTTAGAATTAATTTGCTATTACTGTGAAAATCTGTAAGTTTTTACTTGGAAGCAGTTTATCAGAAACGGAGATACATGTATGTACACACGAAGCAGAAGGATCCATCAAGTTTTTTGCTCTGCAGGATGCAGTCATTACCGAAAACTTCATTATTTACTGTTAATGAATAATTGCACTTAGACACTTATCATCAATACAACTGTTCTCATCTGGAACTGCCTATTTGTTAATTGTGAGAAAAAAACACCTGTTTATTGACAACTGGGACAAATTTCTTAAAAATTAGAAGAGTTACCTAAATGATACTAAATGCAAGAAGTCTGATTCATCTTTCATGTGAGTATTATGCAAGGAGATATCAACTCATGTTTTATCACTCAAATAATAAGCCTCATTCAGTTCTGACTCAAGCAGGAAGACTTTTGTGTCTTGTGCTGGTCTGTATCACAGAGCAACTTCACCACTGTTTGCTTTTATACCCAAATAAAGCACATTAAAATTCTAGTTATTACTTTGAGTGTTCCTCTCTTACTGGTGACAGTACCGTGACTTAGTTATTCACATCAGTGTGCAGTTAGTTGTTTACAGTATAGCATGGAGCAAGCCATTTTACTTTTGAGAACTGTTTCTGCAATCCCAGATAATTCCAAAATGTTCTTGGAAACTTCAGTTAGTTTCTAACATAATAAAGATCTGGCACCTGCTGAATCTAAAAGAGCAGCTTTCTAAAAAAGCTCTGGAAAAACTGTTTGAAAGGAAATGTTTCATTCCCGTACCAAATCTATGCATTGCTTGTGTTCTGATTACTATAATTATTCCCTATTCATTTTGAAATACACTATTATGATAGTTCAGAATTATTAATTTGTGACAAGTATCTGAAAGAAAGTGCAAAGCTATTTTATGGCATGAAGCACAAAACATTTATTGTTTGTATATTTTTTTCCCTGAGTCCTTTGAATGTCAAAAAATATTTCCTCATACAGAAAGGAAAGCATTATTCTTAGAAGACATCACACAGAAAAGCTCATACTCTCAGACTTGAAGCCATACCTAAAATAGCAAGAATATGCTTAACACTGTCTTGTCTCATTATTTAATTGGGGTAAATCAGAATTCTAAACTCATGTACAGCTTCTTGCATGCGTCTTATGGGTGCAGAGTAACCAACATAAGAACAAATCACATTCTTTTAAAAAGGAAAATCAGACAATCTTATTCTATGCACATCTGACAGTACTAAGCATAGCAGAAGAACAAACTGCTTCATTTGTCCTACATTAAGACAGTGAGAGACTTCAGAACAAATATGCCAGTTAAACAACAGATTCTCTGTATTGGTTTCATGCAGCTACTCCCAGGGAGTCTTGTCTAATTTTTTCTAAACAAGCTCTAAAATTAAGATTCACTATGATAATCAGCTTTCAAAACTTCACTGACAAAAACTGAAGTCTAAGAAGCTAGGCCTGTTGCTTAAAATCTCTAGTCCAATAAGAAAAAAATCACCTTTTGTTCCAATTCAGCACAACAAATTTTATGGCTGTTTATCAACTCAAGTAAACTTTTATGAGCCTGAATGCAATACAGAAGTACTTGATGCGTTTTACAGAACAAGGCATTATTGACGTTTCCATATATTAGAGGCTGAGGGAGAAATACATACTAATGATAGCAGAGTCGTAAAAAGATGGAATAAGTAACCATTTAAGACTATTAAATACTTTCTGGATGTTGGATCACCCAACTTTAACAGTAATATAAGAAGAGTCTTTCCCAGCTTTGGCTATTTCTCAGGGTATTTGCTATGTTTCATTTAGTGTAAATACATATTCTACCAGACAAGATGGTATGACTACTTCTATCCATGGCTAAACACTTCTGAAACTCCCTGGGTGAAATTGTGAGCCCCATGAGATCAGCAGCAAATCTTACCTCAGCTTAATACACTTCTCTTGACACACTAGCCCTGTGCCTATGAACATACAGAGATGTAAACCTTCATAGAGTACGCCCATACAAAGCATATGATTTATTTCCCTAAAAGATAATTTACCATTAGTGAAGTTAAAATTTGCTTCCAACAACCACTGCTGCTACCTTTCTTTTTTAAGATCTCGATTAAAATAGCAACTATTTGGAAGCATTATGCTTAATTTGTTCACTTGCAGTACTGGCAAGCAGGGCACTAACGAGATAGTTATCACATGCAAAAACCTTAAAGTAGAAATAGGAATTAATTAGGGCTGCAATCCTAGAATCAGCATCCTAAGTCTGATTGGAGATTTTTGTTTGACCTATGGATTATTACTGTAATAAAGCAGCCTCAGGGAAGAAAATTCAATGGGAAATATTACTTACACACACTATATGACTAAACAGCATGATTGCAAGTTGTTAAAATTATTTATTAATTAGAAGGGCTTAAGTTTTGAGCACAAACCATACCTTTTGATAATATATCAACTGTCTGCCATGCCAGCAGACTAAACACAAATACAGAGGGCTGCTGGAGCTTTTTATTTCTACTGTACTTCCCTATGCAGAAGCAAGCTGTAACCTTAAATGTTACCCCTGAAATGATTTCTCAGAGTGGTAGCCCCACAGTTTTGAAGATCAGGAAAACAACTTTATAGCTTTAAATCAGGCTGTTTTGGCACCATCCACTTCCATCACCACACATCCACTATTTCGTTCTTTTATCGAGAGGAGGGGAACCCGGCAGGGCACCGCAGGTTGCCGCCCCAGTCAGCGGGGAAGGCCTCCCTCCTGGTTGTGAAGGGGAAAAAGCACCAAAGCCAGCCCCTTAAGAGCGACGGAGCCGTGAAGTCCTACCACAGCCTCCTCTCTACCACCAACCCTCTTTATTACCCCCAGGACTCGATGCCCACAGCCCGGGCACCGGCACCGGGCGCCATCGCCGCCCCCCCAGCACTGAGGTGAGGAGCCTCGCGCCCAGCCCTTTCATCGCACCTGCCGAGCCCTGACGGCCGCCCCCGAACCGCCTTGGCAGCGAGCTCGGGCCAGCCGCCCCTCATAGTCCCTCACAGCCCCTCATAGTCCCTCACAGCAAGTACCTCACAGCCCCGCTCCAGCGGCATGGGGCGAGGCTGGCCCCGTCCCTTGGGCAATGCCGCCGTTAGATGGAAGGCTGGAGGGAGGGGGGCAGTGGGAGAGAGCTCGGGGGGCTCGTCCCTGGAGGTGGCCCGGCAGGAGATGGCGCCCAGGGCGCCTGGGCGGAGCTGTGGCTCCCTGAGGGGAGCAAGGAAAAGCAGGCGGTGAGCACTGCGGTAAAGCAGGGGCTGACTGAGCTGAGCACACCCCATTCCCCTTATCATATGTATAATACAGAATACATATATATTCTATACTGTATATGAAAAGGGTCTGTCAGGGGGTGCTGCCCTGTGGCGTTCTTCTCCCTCAGATGGTGTGTGAGGAGGTCTGGGCTTGGTGCTGGCTGCGAGCCCCTGGCTTGGCAGAGTCTGGCAGGATTCAGATGAACAGGCCCCTGTAGAGACAGAAAATGAGACTAGGCTGCCAGAAGCTGTTTTTAAAACTGTTGTGGAAGTGACGGCTGCCCTCCTTACCCCATGCTAATCTGTGCTTGTCTTGGGGTTTGAACTGACAATGACTTTTGCTTGAAACATATCCCTCACAACTGCAGCCCAGCATCATACTGATTATCATGTTTAACCCCCTTTTCTCTTCCCCCCCCCCCTCCCTTTTTTCTTATACCACTTAAATTTGCTGTTGGACTTATATGCTAAAAATTGACAATACTAGATGTTAATGCCAACCACATGACAATACTAGATTGACAATGGCTAGATGTATGTTTCACTTAAACTGAGATCTGCACCATAAATATTTGGGTGCTGGACAGTTGAGTGTCTCTTGCTCATAATGCTATGGCATAACATAAAACAGACATAAAATGATACAGGCTGTACCATATAGGAATTTTAGTTGTGTTGGAGTAGATGTCTTCACAATTATAAAAAGCTATAGATAACGGTTGACTTACAAGTAATGCAATACACACTCTATATTTCTCGTAAAAACTATAGTGGAACCTATTAAAGAGGGTCCAACATCATCCAAAGCAAACTGATGAAATGGACTGAGTTGGTGTGACAACCAGCAGGAAGGTACATGTGTATAATGGCATTGTGATTCCTGCCTGCTGGTCAGGGCTGTGAGGGAGAAGAGCTGTCGTGAGACTGAAGGGTCATGTGGGATGGGTTCAGGCTGTGGGCCGACAGCTGAACTGTGCTAACTGAAGCAAATCAAAAGATTCATGGCTTTGTTAATGCCACTGGAGCTTTAACATTCTTTTAAATAACAGGCAAAATGCTTAAGGCTCTGCATTATATGGGTTCGGTGCCATTCAAAGATCAGAGAGGACAAATAGTATTATAACTGTGTGGTCTAGGACAGCTGTCAAGATGCTATTAAATTTAGTTGTTAAGGGAGCATAAATCTTATGGCTCAGCTCAGTAATTCAGTAATTTTTTTTTTTTTTTTTTTGCAATACTATACAAACTCATGGTAATAACTCAGAATAGCTCTTGGGATTTGGTCTGTGGCAAGTAAAGGTGGTTTTCTCTCCTTTTCTTGGGAATCTGTTTTTTAAGCAAAATAGGGTATTAAAAAGTTTTGGCTGAAACCAAGAGGAGAGAGGGATGAAATCAGAAATAGTCTTGAATGTTTTTGGTTTGAGTTCTCCTTGTTTAAACGATATTCTGGTTCTTGTCTTCAAAAATCCTGAACGATATTTGTTGAAACCCAGAGAGTGTCATGCAAATGGTGTCCTGCAAATATACTGTCATCCAACTGAGGTTCTCATTGCTAGAAAGAGAATGGGAGCTTGAAGGAATTGTAATTTCCCTGAACTAATTTGTCAACGTATACAGATTAATGTTTTTGAAGGTATGTCCCCATGTATTTTCAGAACTTGGATATTCAGCCTTTCAAGTAAACTTTGACAAATTAAAAAAATAAATATTTAGTTCTTTAGAAAATTTATATTCAATACAGAAGAAAAGCACAGCAATGCAAACTCATCAGGCTACAGAGCCATGATGGAACAGAAAGGGAAACAAGAGAATGGTCTGACGCAGTTTCTTTTAAACAAGAAGCAAAGAGGAATGCTGGTTGATCTAATGTAGTTTCTGGCAAGGAATCAGAAAGAATTCATCACCTTTGTTTTTTCTGCACAGCCATTAATAAGCAATGTAAACATGAAAAATAGCTTGTGCCATTGGTGCTTCTTCCTTTCTATAGGAGAGAACAAAATATAGGGTAATAATATGCAGCAGCATGAAAAAGTTGTGCTACTGCAGAAGTGCTGGATATTTGATGATAATACAGCCAGAAGATCCTGCACCTTCTTCTCATTAGCTTGGCCTCTCTTGAAAGCTGACACTAACAACGTATTTATGCCACTTGTGGTGACACCATGGGTGTCCTGCCCAGTGTATGCTAAAAGTCTTTTTTTTGGTTCATCTGCTGCCACACTAAAACTTAATTAGGCAAAGTGATTCTCGTCCCTCTTCCTTTCCCATCTTCTACAGCAAATACTGTAAAGTTACTACTTTGTACATAGAGACCAAGAATATCGCCATATCTATGTACTTGCTCATCTATCAGTGAAAATCTGCAAAGATACACTTTCAGCCCACCAATATTAAGAGGCGGGGGGAGAGCTGGCTGCAAGCACTTGCTCTTTTTTGGTCTGTTTTCCTAGTTCCTTTATTAATAAAGTATTCTGTACTATCCCTGTATTTTTCTTCCCTTTTTGTTTTCTGCCTTACCTTTTTTCTGTTTTGATAGTTTTACTGATGAAGCCCAACTACTTCAAACATCAAATGGGTAGTTCACATTGATTTTCTACCCCAATGCACTAAAATTTAAGTACAGGTAGAAAAGCCTTGTATGGGAAGAGAACTCATGACACTTCCCTCTTTTTCTAAAAGTCTGAATCCCTTTTTTTGCTAAACCAGAGTTACATTGATCCCTACAAATCCATGATGTATTGTTCCTATCAAAGGTATTAGACTTTGCTGGTCGCATTTACAAAAACATATAGAAAATTGATTTTATTTCAACATGATTTTTTTAGCAGTGTAATTGCTGACTGAGGTAGACCTCTTAACATGAGTGAAAAGACTCATAATTTAACTTGTCAGAGTAACAGGTTGTTGTTGTTGTTGTTGTTTGTTTTCCAAATCCTTAAGCTGAACTTTTTAACTATTAAAATGAACAATTTTGTTGACTTTTTTTTTTTTTCACCTGACAAATTTTACAAGCACACACATTTGAAGAAGAACAAATTCTCCACAGTATCTGGCATATTGACCATGCTTTTGCATGGGGTTACAGGTTTGAAACGTTTTTTATTTTTCCAGAAAGTCACAGCGCTGGAACAGACTTCTGAGATGTAATTAAAGGTAATAGCTTCAAATCCACTAAAACACTTAAGTGTTTGTCACACACTCTTAATAATCCGTAATTGAATATGCAGTTAAGATTTTAGTTGATTTGTCTGAAAGTATTTCAGTTCATTGGTTTTATAAAATCTCCTGGGCCAGTCATTACATTACATTTGCTGAATACCTTCCTTCATCCCTCTCATTTTCCGGTTAATGCTCAAGCCTGTTTCCATACAAAGGGCTGGTGCTTGAGAAATGAACAAACTGCATCTTGATTTTGCTTATATACATTTATATATAATCAAAACCCTCACACTGAAAACATTTGTGTTAATTTTAGACATTAAATTTAGCAAGATTACTCATGAGTAATTTTCACAATTTCTATTGTCCCAGAACATACAGATGAAATGAAATTTGTGACCTAATATATTACTTTTTCCTATGAATATGAATTTCACAGGAGAACACTGTTTTTTTTTTTTCATCTTTATTTTTAAAAAGATGACCAAAATTATGAGTTTTATTAGTAGGATTTTTTCAAGACATAATCTATAAATTGACAATGTAAATACAAAAAAAAATCAAATTCATACTTTATGTTGCTACCCGTTGCCTTTCTGCAAAACTACTCAGATTAAGTCTGTAAATCTCACCATAGCTTTGCATTCAGTTTGGGCAAAGAAACACCATCTTTTTCTAACAAATTTCGTTTCTAGTTTCTAATGAGCTAGCAAATATCATTGTGTGACTTTTACTACTATTAATTCTTGCTTACATATTTGTGTTTATTTTTCTTCTGAACCATAAAGAATTATTTATGTTTGCCATATTTTAGGCTTAATAAACTGTCTAGGTTCTTCAGGTGAAACAAATATTACCTATCGGACCTAAGTAGTGAAGGAATTTAGGATGATGCCTTTTATCTCCATTTTATAGAGGTGAAAATAACATTGAAAGAGGGAAGGACATATTGTCTGGTTTAGTCTTTTATCCATGCAAAATTGAATTGAGATTGTTATTCTCAGCATACATGGAGGGTTATGTGTGAAAGTATTGTACAGGCTATGGAATTCAAGCTTTTTTTTTTTTTTTTTTTTTAATTCAAATTGTTGATGTAGATTATGCTGTAATTAATCCTGGCATTGCAGATGCAAAATTATATGGGATTTGTTCTGATCTCTGTTAAACTAGTGTCAGTTTGTGCTTTTACCACCCAATAAATGTTTTTTTCCAGGCTTTTATTACTTTGTCATCATGAAGGGGGCATCATATACGTTCTGCAGCTTTTTAGCTGAAGTGCCTTTTCCATGTTAAATGAAAAGTATTTGCTGTTTAACAGTTGTTGCTGTTTTGTTACCTGAAGCATTTGCCTGAGAAAAAAAATAAAATCACTGAAACATCCCAAAAGTTTTCCTACCATTATCAGCTTGACAGCAGTATGATGTTTTGATTTAGATTAGTGGTTCATGATGGCTGCTAT